GACAACAAGTGGCGTTCGTCAGGGTTGTCGGATTTCCTCATTTTTCCAATTTCGTCGTGGATTCTATCATGGAGTGTTCGCTTGCTGAATCTCACGATGTAAGTGTTGAATTGCTGCCTGGTGAAAGGTTAGTTGATCTAGATTATGCGGACGATATCGTCTTGCTTTTCGACGATGTTGCTTCGGCACTGTCAACTTGATTAGCCTGTCTAGAGTGGTCCCATTATTTGGTACGCACTTCGCAACTTCAAAGTGCGGTGTTGCTGCAGGACCACCAGCCACTTTATGACCCCTTGACCCTTGCTAGCGAGGAACTCGAAGTGGTTGATCACTTTGCTGACGTTGGCAGCTGCATCAGCAACGATGGGCGGATAGAAACTGACGTCAGTACATGCATTGCAAATGCCAAAGCTGTCTTGAACCTGCGTTATCTTTGGCGTCTGAAAGACCGGGTATACAAGGCCACAGTGAGGGCCGTTCTGCTCTATAGTAGTGAGACTTGGCCTCTTCGGTCTTTAGATCTGAGGCGTATTCAAGTCTGATCATCGTTGTCTGCGAAGCATTGCTGGTGTCGGATGGCACCAGCGTGTCCGCAACGATGATGTGCGTAGACGAGTACTGGGTATTGATAATCATGCTAGCTTACTAGAACAACAGATAGCACTGCATACATTGCGCTGGCTCGGGCACGTGCTACGTATGCCTGGTCACCGCTTACCTAGAAGGGCCTTGTTCAGTCTACCAGGTGTAGGATGGCGCATGGCTCGAGGTGGACGGAAGTTGACTTGGAAGCGGGAAATGAAGTCACTGACTTGGTGCCGTTGGTGCGTCTCGCCTTCCGGACTGGAGTCCACATGATTCGCCTTATGCTTGACTCGAGACTTTACAGGACATGGCTCGCAGTAGACCCCAGTGGCGCGTTTGCTGCCGTCTCCTAGTCGGATTGCCTGTTTAAAGTGTGTTTGGTGCTGAGTTATCTGCGGGGTAATGTCTGATTATGACGCGTGGCAGTGAAAGCCGCAAGGGAGCTGTCTCGCCGATGCCGCGTTATCTTTGCAAGATAGCCAGCTGTTTGTGACGGTATGTTGTTTACACAAGGTGTAGGCGCTTTGACCCTGAATGTTTGCTTAGGACATTAACTAAGTCCCTCTTCTCTCATATTATTCTTTATTCCATGGGTCATCATGGTTGTATGGCAGCGAATCATCATTTCAAATGGCTGATGTACTGTTGTTTATATAGTTACTGTAAGCTGTCTCTAAAACACGCCGCTCTTCCATGGTTCTTGTGCATTCGGTAAGCATCTAAATGACCATTGTGCTCTTTTAGTGGTCTGCGACCGCAATGCCACTGACTTACCCGGATCCCGTCGAGGACCAATTTCGCCAAGGCCATAAGTACTTTTAAAGGCGTCTGTAATGGATCTCGTCATTATAATGGGATCAGAACCCACTTTCTGGTTGGTGGGTTGCTGCCAGATTAGGATGTTTCTCCCTTCCGGTCCTGATAGTTGATTACAGTATTCCATTGGTTGTCAAAACAGATGCCTCCGGCATAGCTATAACCGCCTCGCTTGGTCAGAGCAATTGCCCAGTTGTCTTTTTTCACGTACTTTATCCCCAAGTGAGAAACGTCATTCGGCTGTTGAGAAAGAGGCGTACGCTATTGCAGAAACTGTCTGAAAGTGGTGACAGTGTCTCCTTGGGAAGCATTTCAAACTTATCACTGATCAGCGATCCGTAGCCTTCATGTACGGTGACGGTCAAACAAGCAGAATTACGAATGATAAAATCCAGTGGTGGCGACTGCAACTGTCTGCATACCAATACGACATAAGTTACAGATCTGGCAAAGCTAATCAGGTAGCAGACGCACTTTCTCGTATCACATGTGCCTCAAGTTTTAACAGCATGAAGCTGCAAGTCCACAACTCATTGTCACTCAGGAGTAACCAGAATGTTTCATTATATCGGTTCTAAAAACGTATCTTACTCCGTTGAAGAAGTAAAAACCATGATTCCAAAACGCACTCTTCTTGCAGCTCTTAAACCGGTTCTGCAAGCCACCCACAGGCCGACTCGCCACGTAGCCGTTCGAACGGCTCAGTATGTATTTCCAAGGGCCTTTACCTACAACGACGCGCAACTGATACTAACCGTCGTTGATGAATACAACAGATTTCCTTTCGCATTTGCATGCCCGGGCCTGCTTACGACAACCAACCATCAATTGCCTCTGCCAATTGTTCGCTGTTTTTGGTATGCCGGCGTACATACACACTGACCGAGGGTCTTCATTCATGTCTGCATAGATTACCAAGTTTCTACGGGACAAAGGAGTGGCAACTAGTCACACAACAGCCTACAAGCCAATGGCCAAGTAGAACGTCTTAACGAAACCCTTTGGAATACCATCTCACTCGCTCTACGAGCCAGAAATCTGGCACCTCAGTGGGTTTGCCCTTCATGACGCGCTACATTCCATCGGTTCGTATCTTTGTACTGCTACAAACACTACTCATGAACATCTCTTGTTTTGCTGGATGGTCAACTAACGGAACCATCATTCCATCCTGCTTGACGGTCCCTGGCTCCATCTTACTCAAACGAATGGACAGGTCTTCAAAATACGAACCGTTGATGGAGGAAGTTAGTCTCATCAGCTACAACCCTCATTACGCTCATGTACAACTACCTGATGGTAGAGAAGAAAATGTCTCTATCAGTCAGGTGGTCTTTCGAGGCGATCTTCCCGTTTTACCATCTGAAACAGGAGTCACCAGATACCCCCTTACTACTCAAACCGACAATACTCCAACACCAGAACTCAGAGTATGGCTACTCGTGCGATGTCGTCCGCACTTCTCTTCGTACATCTTCCTATTCCAATCTTATAAGGAAGTAACAGAACACGTCTTTATTGTTTATAAAATAGGGAGGCTTAGTTTACGGATTTCTCTTTGTAACTTAAATTCTCTTCTATTTTCCGGCAGGGGTGAATATCGCTCCCTTGTACATGTCGCATCATAATCAACTCTTTTACCTTTCAGCTGATGCACCTTTGTTGGACAAGTAAAGCGTATACTTCCTACTCCGTGTTATTCCACCTGTTGTGCTATCTCCGTCCAACGCATCATGAGGAACGTGTGGAATGGTGCTGTTGCTGTTAAGCGAATGCTCTCGCTGTATTATTTGAATGTGATGAATAATGGCAAAGAACTACCCAGTCTACGTCGATCACCGGATTCACTTATCAAACACGCCGCTGAGCGCCACTATGCTGACCAGTTTCCCATCGTTATCTAAGCGTTGGTCGCAAGTCAACCACGCTGTCGTCTGCGCGCCTAGTTTGCAACCATAAGGTTACCGGTTCAAATCCGCGTAGGGCTAGCATGCTTGCGCTATACTCAGCCCGCGTGCGACTGGTGGTGGTCGCGCAGTAGCAAAGCGCCGTTACGACATACAGGTGACACTTTTTTATTCACCTCTTGGGATCATTACTATGTCGTGAGAATGATGAGTATAGCATCATACTTGGAGGCTCCGTCTCGTGATGCGATTGTTAAGAAGCTTTTTTTCAGACGGTATATGGTTCGAAATTTGAAATGCACTACTCGCTATTATGCATTGGTTCTGTTACAAAACAGCAGCTATTATCCACAGCTCTTCCGGTAGTTCGGAAACAATCTACATTGTACGGATTTTTACGTGTAGAGAATGTTTACTGATTCCAGAATATAGTAATCGCACGCTGTTGACATGACTTGGCACTGCATCTTAACATCTTTATGAGGGGATATCGATTGAGAAACTTTGATGCGTTTTCATAAGCCACAACCATTTAGTTACTGCATTACACCACTTTCCGCGGCATTTACTGTCCTGCTCTTGTTCCCTCAATCGGTTCGGTCCTACATAGGTGCGAGCGACCTCGAGGTGTCCGTAGTCCGCCAGCGAATATTGTTTGCGGTGCTGATGCCTTTAACATTGTTTTACCATGCTTCCCGGCACTACGGCATCTTTGCCGGTTTACATCAGAGCCAGATCATACATTCACATACTCCGGTGGTCACTTCATTAAGTGAGTTACTTTGCGTGTGTCATTTCAGAGACTCAACCACCTATGAAGACGGGGACATCAGTCTGTCATTGAAGGGTAGGGTGTATGACGCTGCAATAATGCCGGTGTTACTCTAAGGTTCAAGGACCTGGACAGTTCGCAGTGAGGACATTAAACGCCTGGCCTTGTTTGATCACCGGTGGTTGCGGAGTATTGCTCATATCTGGCGGGAACACGGGGTGAGCAATGTAGAAGTCCGCCGGTTGGTTTCTGGCAAGAAGCCTTCTGGCAAATCCGAAACCGGATGCCGCCAACCATGTCCTACGTATGTCTGTTGACCGGCATCCTCAGCGTGCATTAATACGCCGTTGCTGCACCAGGTTGGACGAAATCAGTAGATTGCCACTCGATGATGTGGCATCAAGTCTGGAAGACTTGCTCAGGCTAGTGGATGTCGTCTTCATGAATGTAGGCCACGGGACGGTCCACATCATGTGCTAATAACCCTATCAGGCATGGCCCAGTGATGTTTCTGCATTCGGTTTCTTACATCTAGCCGTTCCTTTGCCATCCTGATTTGCTTGACCCGCTTCTTTACTACGTTTCCTTTGTATTTTGCTTCCGTCGAACACCGTTTTCATTACTATTCATTGTTATTCTGGCAACTAGTCACAAAACTGGATCCACCGCACTTCGTTATCTGGATCATACTTGTCCAATTTCACCGAATTGTTATTTTACACAAGTCGAAACTTATCACCCGCTGCTCGCTGTTTTATTTTGTTGGCTCACTTTTCAGCACATAGGGTTTACCGAGGCGTTCTCTCTCGAACGAGTACTACTCGTTACACAGTCATGTGAATACGTGTTTTCTCGTCTTACTGGGTGACTGTGTTCATCACTTTATCCACTGCATGAATTGTATGCTGATTTTCCTCTAGGCTCACTGTGTGATTGTTTTCGAGGAGGACGGCACATTCGTTCGACGCATTGGTGGGGAGTCTATCACGGATTTCCCCAACGGCATTGACGTCAGCGACCATGGAGATGTTCTCGTGGGGGATTCTCATGGAAATCGCTTTCACATCGCTGTCTTCAGTCGAACTGGGGAGCTCTTGAGTGAGTTCGTATGTAACCAAACCAAAGTGAGCCGTTCTTGCTGCTTGAAGATAACTACTGAAGGCTACGTGGTTACTCTTGCGCGCAGTTCCAACAACGTGCTGGTCTTGGATACACTCTACATTTGCTAATGATTAGCCTGAGTTACCGCTGACCACGACATCCTAACACCACGTTCTTCCATCTACACAGTAGCATTACTTGTCTGTTTTACTTTAACATTTTATCTTCGTATTTGATTTTATTGTATATTTGTACTTGAGATTATTGTCCAGTTTTGGACGAATTTCGTGCTTTGTCACAGTCATTTGCCCCCTCCACGCCTGTCCTCCACAGGGTGCTCGTGATACACTTCATTTTCGAGTTATTTACAGTATGTTTTTCCTTCAATTTTTCATGTTCTACTTTTTTCTTAGTTTTGTGAACTACTTCTAATGTGGGGCGACTTACCCGAGGTGTTCTTATTGCGTGATTTTGAATGCCGTTCACTCCCCACTGTGGTTTCCCACAAAATCATCGAAAATATTTCGCGCGCGTTTTGAACTTATTCCGAAGTTAAAGAGCATCGTTAGTTAGCATTTTATCTGAATTGTTTTCTCTGTATTTTTGCAATATTTTTTGAGATTATGAATTATTGTTTTGTGTTATTACTTGTACGGTTGGCTTATCGCGTTCTTTAGTTTGCCTAATTGGTTCAGTCAAGCACTCGAAATTCATTCACCTTTTACGGACTGATTGGACCCCCTCCCAATCCTTCCAATTTTCGGTTACACAGCACTTGTGCCTTTCACACCCAACCACTCATGACACCTTCCCTATTTGAATAGGTCATCCTTCGCTTTCCATCCATCCACCCAGCAAATGTGAATTGCTCAACGCTTCCTTGGCTCTCTTGCCATTTTCTTTATCTTTGTTGGTTTCGTCGCATTTGCGCACCATTTCCCGAATTCAGTTGCGCTTCTCTCTGCAAGTTATGATGACCAATATCAGCCCATTCCGAATGGCATTCTTTTGGAAAGTATCATATGAACACTGATACGTTTGCTTGTTATGGTACATTCACAAAAAGCTATATTTGGCGGTGTATCCGCATATGTGAACTGTCGGTCACTCGTGCGCAATATGATTCCATTTTCATCTTTTATATCAAACCCTACATGTGCCACTGACTGTCATTTTGCCCTTTGAATATGGCCTGACCGCTTATTTTGAAGTTTAAATCAAACCTTGTATTCCTTGCATATTGGTTTATTACATTACTTTTTTGAACACAACTTCTAAGAAAGTAAGGCAATTATTTTTACACCAGCAATGCTAATCTAGTAGCAATCCATACATTTACAGCATACTAATGTTTCCACGTTAATATTCGGCTTGTAAGCTCGTCAACGGCACCTGATTTATATCAACGCCCGTTTTACAAACTTTTGGGCGTCTTGAAGATACCCAAACTCACAGACAGCGTCAAGTAAGTTCGGCATCGGCTACTGCACATATGGTAGGTTGGAAACGCCAAAGCACTCTACAGATTTCTCTCTTCATTTATTGCTGCGGCAATCACTCCAGTATAAATGACGACAAATTCAATTGTGCCGTCTGTATTCGTATCGCCACGTCATCTATGAGTGCCCTGATGCTCGGTTCTCTTGGTTGCGTTCATTATCCGTTAAAAAAGCGATATCTACAGCCCACTAGTTGTCCGCAGCTATAGAGTCGCTGTGGCGAAGCTTCAACCCGCATTGTCGTGCCTACAAGTCAAAAAATTAAACTGTGCACTACGGATCTATCGTGTCGCCAAAGAGTACTCGGGGTACACGTTCAACGCAAATGATGTTTATCTTGAAAATAACTATCATTGCGATGCCATCTAGTGCTTCCAGTCGCTGTACAACTTTCTATCAGTCGCTGAGAGCGGTAGGTTACTTCCGCAGCTTTTGCTATTTAATCCGCGCCATTGGCCGTTACGGCTGTCAGAGACGGTATCGGTGTTTTGTTTCAGCGAAAGCCCATATAACTAGGGATCGCTTCGTTAAACCGTTAGCATTCTTCTCGCCTTTCAGATTTTACTTTACCGTTTGTTGAATATGCTATGATATCCGCGCCTATCTGTTTTAGTTCTTAGGTCCTATTTGTGTACCTGTGTCCGTGGCTCTTACTCCCAGCATCTTTACTAGAAAAGCGATTCTGCCGCCGTCATACTGCTCTACTTGGTATGCCGAAGAATGCGGAAACACTCACTAATGGTTGGACTACACCCAGTTTGCGGTAATGTCCCAGGTTTTGTAGATTTCTTTATCCTTGCGGCTCATGTAGTCAAGTGATCTGAAAAAACGGCAAAGGGCTAAAATCTAGGAGGGATGTCGTTTCAGTCCCTAACTACTACCTCAGAGCCTCGTGATCTAATTGAGACCAATCACACGCAGTCCCAGGAATATAGATCGAATTTCATGCGTTTCGACTTCATCGACTGCTTCACTGAAAGTGAGTTTCCGTCGTTTTTCTCTAGCCTTAAATGAAAACCACATTATTTTAGTCTGGCGTTAACAAATCGCTGAGCAGCATTTGAGTATGCAATCTAAATTTGCCTTCCCGTGTCAGTCCTGCCCAAACGTGAGTATAGTGGTATGGTGCGAACACATCTGCCCACATGCATGTGTAGAAGCCATTGTTAGTGTTTGAAGTCCTGTTGAGGCACTGCTTGACACATTCGCGGTGCGAAGTCTATGAAAATGGGAAGGGCGTTACCCTTAACCATTGAAGTTACTCGGATTGCACTGTCAGCTACTGTGTCTTTGGAGAGACCGTCAGCACAGCCGAAGCATGTGGTCCGACACTTCGAGGATGCAGTCAAGATTTGACGTAGGTGTAGGCCTCTTACGAACCATTATCATCTGAAATCTCCAGTAAGGTGTGGCAAGCAACTCAAACGAAGAGCGAACGTTCCGTTTTGTCAGCAGCGGCCACGAGACCAGGGGCTTCATATCTTATTGTTTGATCAAAGCGACCGGCGCACGGGTGTATCACGGCAGATTGGTGTAAATTTATATCGTCAGTAAGTCCAGGCAGGACGGGTAATCATATCTTCACATAAGCTGGCCAATTGGATATTGCTACCGCATTACTGCGTACAACATGAGTGCCACAAAGATCTACTTCGACTGGATTTCTCTAAGAGGGTCGGTGTTCGCAGTCAAGTCAACATTGCGCTTTATGCTTTCATAAAGAATGTATATTCAGCAGCACACGCTAAGGGCACAAATAAAATTAAATAAAAATATGACAAATGGATATGGTGCGCCACCAATTAGAAAAGGTGGCAGCAGTGATATCATCGATTCAGTAGGGCAATAAGGTCTTGTTTGACTACATCTTGATCCCTCAGACAAATAGGAAACAACTGACGTACCGTGATCCCGTGTGCTAGCAAAAATAGATGTACTTTTTTCGAGGATGTCGAGATACATTAAGATAATAAACAATGGAGAGGGTGACTGGCATCAGTTAATATTTTGGACGCTTGATTTTCACAGGAGCGAATATGATTGAACACAATGTCAGTAAACACTAGCATGGAGATTTCGCTGCATCGAGCAGGATGCTTCAGCGACCTGCTGATCACTTTGAATTGCGGTGACAAACCGTAAAATCAAGTAACGAGGCACGGATCTAGACCAAAGTTGGGAGACATTGTACGTTAGTCTCCTGACTTTAGTCAATGTTTCATTCACGTGATGTAAGCACGTGGGATCCCGACTTAGTGTAACTCCGAGATATTTCACTAATGTATAGGTGTTTAAACTGACACTGTCAATACTAAGATGTGGGATGTGCGTCAGGAGCTGTTGATAACAATTTTCCTTGGACAGCAAGAAAATAACTGAATGAAAAACAGCGGGATTTCGCTCGGGAGGTGAGGTCCAAGAAACATCGCAAATTGGCCGGTAAATCTGTTGTATGATTGTGTACACCAAGGATCACGTCTTCCTTTGGAGCCGGAATGGGGTTAATATACGTCGAAAATAGGAATGGGGATAAAATAGCTTCCTGAAGAACACCTATTTAGTAGTTTTGGTAAAATGCGTACAATTGGCAAAGTAGTCCAAGAAAAAGTACTAATGAAGGTTGAATTCCGGAAACTAGCAGATCGTGTAACAGCAACTCGCGGTTTACACAACCAAAAGCATTGCTGTAATCTAGGAACCAGATCCGCGTGGGTTTGTTTTTACTATCGAGTGATGGAAACATGGAGTGTACAAGACAGGCTAATGCATCCAAAGTGGACCTTGAACTGCGACAGGCGAACTGAAAAGAATCATTTAAGTGGGTTTGGACGAGCATTCTTTCGAGTATGATACGTTCATATGTCTCCAAAGCGACAGACGTGCAGGCAATAGGTCGTTGTATACATGTTCCATTTTTGTTACAAGTGTAATGCGGGTGCTTTGCCAGCAGTCGGCTATCTGATACTGTGGAACAATAGTGTATTACGGGTAGAAAAGCACTGCTTAACAAGTTCCGTGGGATAGAAATTATTGCGGAGATTAGTTTGCATAATAAAGTAAGAGCGTTTTGGTGGACTCACCTTAGACTTATGTACAATAGCGGAGATGAGGATTTTGTAAGACACTGTTTGATTGCGTTCTGTAGCCGCTGGCTAACAAGTTATAAACTGAAATGCAAATGAGATGCGCATCGGCAACTCGTCATTTAAATATTGCCAAATTGGGAGCAGAGACGACATAATTAGGGAGGGCGTTCCAAGGCTGGCACACGCGGAGAAAAAAGAAATTTCTACGGCATTCAAACCGGTCACACTGTATTTTCAGATTCAGAGGATGACATTTTAGATTAGTGTTGTGACTCAATTCCAGCAGCGGACGGCAAATGTGGTTTGGGTTCTTCAGAATCTGGTGAACCATTATGAGATCCCTAGCAAGTATTTATTCACAGTCTGTTAACAGACATTGTGCCATCAGAACCATGGCAGAAGAAAAACGTGAAGAAGATGGGGACACTAATGCGATTAAAAAATATGGGAAACGAGTTTTTTTGGTTTTACACACGCCATTTTGTATTTTTTGTTTTGTTTTGTGAGTTTGTGTGTGTATCAAAGGGATGGTGAAATTGCGGAACAACATTGCCGCCACTGATGTCTGTTGCGGGCCATGACGTCCAATGTTTCCAACCACTGCAATTCAGCATCTCGTGGTCCCCAACCTGGAAGGCGGACTGGTCCGACTGCTGCCAAACTTGAGGTCGCCTTCTTCATACTCCTTCTCCACGTCATCGGCTGTCCACCGCGGCACTTTTTCCAATCGCTCCCTGGGAGTGCAAATAGCGCTCGACGTGGAAGGCGATGGGCTGGCATGCGCAGAACATGCCCGAGCCAGCGCATGCGATGTCGGAGAATAACGTCTTGAAGACTGGCACTATTCGCCCCAAGCACGCGGTCTCTCACCTCTGCGTTGCTTACGTGGTGTTGCCACCACACCCTAGCAATCCTTCGTAGACAGCGATTATCAAAGACTGATAGCCGCTTCATATCTTCCGAGCGAATAGGCCGTCTCACAGCCGTACAAGAGTACTGCACTGACGGAAGCATTGTACACCCTGCCCTTGAGCTTGAGAGTGACATCACGACGACGCCATAGATGTCTCAGTTTGATGAATGCAAGGCGGGCCTTTGCAATCCGTTGTGAGACTTCATCTCCAACACCGCCACCAGCCGTGATGCAACTCCCTAGGTAAGTGAAGCAAGGGACTTGCTCCAGAACATGTCCAGTAATGGTGAGCGCGGGTTCAGGCACCTGCCAATCCTGGAGCAGCGTTTTACATTTTCCCGGAGTGAAGCACAGGCCGTACTTAGACGCCTCCATCGCCAAGCGGTCCAGAGCGTTCTGGACGGATTGTGGGTCGTCCCCCAGCAGGGCGATATCATCGGCATAGTCCAAGTCCGTGAGTCTGTCTCCAGGGAGAAGCTCAACACCGCAGTCCTGGACACCTTCCAGTGCTCTTTGGAGAACATCTTCGATGGCGAAATTGAAGAGGAAAGGTGAAATAGGGCAACCTTGGCGAACACCGCTGGTCACAGCGAATGAAGAGGAGTGCGTGCCGTAAGCCCTAACTTTGCCCGATGTGTGACTGTAAAGTACTTTCAGGATGGTTACAAACTTGTCGGGCACACCTTTCTTCAGTAAACAGTTCCACAACGCAGACCTATCTGCTGAATCAAATGCCGCTCGGATGTCCAAAAACACTACGATTGTTGGCCGCCGGTGGATGTGACGAAGTTCGAGAACTTGCCGAAGCGTGAAGATTTGGTCGATGCAGCCACGGCCTGGACGAAATCCAGCTTGTTCTTC